CTTAAAGTCCATTAAAGAATCTATGCGATGTCTAAAAAGATATTTTTGACCATAATACATATTAAGAGAAGTAATGAGTGAACCAAATTTGTGAATAAGAAATAAACACTTCTATAAATAATAAATAAATAAATAAACGTTATTTACATACATCTAACATTAAGACGGTAAATGACACTCATGTTATTAGTAACTTTATACAAAGGAGCAAATAAGCAATTGCGTAAGATTTAGTTAAGGTAGATTCCATCTAATTGATATAAACAATTAGTAATTAATGATATTTTAAGTAAAATCAAGAGAATTTCACTTATAACTTAAGAGGTGATAAATACTAAATATGTACATATTTATTGAATTTAACAAAGAAGAAATGTGTTTGGATAATACCTTACAATATACATCTTTCAGATTGAAATTCGACAACAATCTGGATCAGAATATTTCCATGTAACCACTATATAGGGTTTCGTATTGTAAACAGTAATTGTTCAAATACTATTATGTATAACAAAGTCTTTTGAAATATATCAAAGAGTTTCAGTAAACTACATAAAATTCTATCGTAGGCGTATATAATGGTAGAGGTTAGATGGGCTAAGTTTGTGATGTATATAATTACAATTTTATCAAATAATTGTTTATATAATCACAAAATAGTAAATATAAATTCTGCATTTAGATTCTCATCTAGGTCGTTGTGTGGTTAGAGTGGAAGCCATTGTACGAAGCTAAGAGAAGCAGCCAAGCTCCTCTAAAAAGTACAGAGTATCTCTTGTATCTTCACTGCCTTTCTAACAAAACACTAATTTTATTATGTAATTCAGTACTTGAATGACCTCATATTGTCTGTACAGTGTAAGTGTACAAGTGACGTAATGTGTGATAGTGTTGTTAAAAGAGTTGTTGCTATGCGACATGAAAGTAATATGTTCAGAATACAGTAGCCGATGAAAATTAATTGTATGTTATCTCATAATATTAATACTTCTGAATGTGTATTTATTATGACAATATTAAATATAATAAAATATATTAAAGAACAATTAATGTTACAATTTTATCATTTAAAATTTGATGGAAAAGATTTTTCCTTATTCTTTAGGATCGTCATCAATGATTAATGTGATAAATTTCTTAAATTTGTGTTTCGTGGTTGAAATAAGGCAGTGTAATTACAGGTTATCACAGAAGTCACCTGATAACGTGATGTCCGTAGTGCTATTTACGTATACATATAGGCGATGGTTACCAATCACCAGCACATTTCTTGCCATTGCAATAAAAAGAAATTGTTTTACAGGTTGGATACTCGTATTCTACTTATATATTATAGGTATATGCACATATTCCTTAATATTGGAATGGAATTAACAATAGCTGTGTATCTAAATCAATAAATACAGTTATTAAATATTATATTATAGTTTATTTGGTAAGGACCCAGTATAATATTTAGAGAATTCCAAGGTTAACCGGTTTTAACTGGCTTCATTATTGTATAAACAAAATAGCTATTGTATGAATATTTGCGTATTAATGTGTTGCTAAGTTAATTTTGTACAGGTTGAAATATGGTAATACGTATTTTGTTTCGCTAAACGATTTTCTACTTTATCTGAAATATTATATTTGTCAACTATTCTTAACTGTGATTGTATTTAGAATATTAAAACTTATAGACAATTTTTTATTACCATTTCTTCTGAGTGTATGGGTCAAATCATAAGCGGCTAGCTAATTATTCTGATCATTAACAATATTTAAAAATTCTGTATAAAATTTAAGATGTTATTGTAACTATTCAGCCACATTACTTTTTACAATATCATTATTCATCTATCAGTCATTTGTTTATTCAATTTGGCTATCATTGTGTTTTATATTATATTAGCTTATTATTATAAATATATTTATATCAGATTCTTAGCATTCTCTAAAAGTGCCACCCTGAGGATCCATATCACGGTATCTGCAGGACATCATACAGTACTTACTATTTTATAATTACAACTTTTATATAACTATATATACGTGAAAAAGATTCAATACAAACAATTATTCACAATTTCAATTTAAAAAGTATATATAAAAAATTATAATAATTCAATACAATTTAAATAGTATAAAAATTCCAATAAATTAGAAATGCCTAATATTTATTATTATTATTAAGTACATTTTTAAATACTTTTATTAAGTGTATTTTGTAAGTACTAATTTTATTTTAAATAACAATATTATTAATTTAAATATGTAATATATCGATAACTAATTTACGACTTCATTACCAGAATTAAGACCAATTTACAAATTTCATAACAAAATACATAATAAAATGGGTAGTTGATGTCAAAGGTATCGATAATTCGATTAAATTAACGTAATTTGACAGACAAAGGGAGTAAATGCGAATATAACAAAGGCAAAAGTAGTGTAGTTTGTTACATTATATAGTATAATACAATTCACGTTAGTCTAGTCCGCTTGTCACTATTCAGTTAGAAAAAGTAGAACAGATGAAATAACATGATAAAATAAAGCCCCGAGTATAAAAATAATATGTGATACTGAAGAAAAATGAAATATTTTCATATTCGTCTTCATATTTTTATGTTACGGGTAAAATTATTAAAGTTCTATATATTTAGAGTTGTCAACAGCCTTGCCAAAAAAGAAAATGATATTATACATTGTTAACACTAAGTAAAATTATGTAGATATGCAAATATACAGTGATTGCTTGGATTATGTAGAACATACTTTGTCTATATTCACTAACTATCTTCATAAGAATATATATCAATTATACCAAAATCATTATTTTAGAGATTCCTTTTTTTTTATACATATAAGCAACTACGATACTGAAACGACGTGAAAGAATTTTTAGAAAATATATTTTTATATATACTTTCCAGACAATAATGAAACAAATTTGCCTCCTTGCTACATTAATCAACATGACAGTTTCAAAGTAACAATGTTAGAAAGGTCATGGCTGAATTAAGAAAAAAAATTACTTATCGTGCAAATCTTAAGTTCAACAACAATACTTCATGTAGAAGTACATATTGCTGTTGAGTTTAAGTTTAAGCTAAGTAAATTGATAATGCTAATGGAAAATTTGATTAAGCTCGTATGTAAATAATTCTATACTTTGCAATATTGGTCTTGTTAGTGATCATTAAGATTAAGCTGAATTTATCTGCAATGTGACCTACAAAAGACAGCATTTATCTGCTTGAGATCGTAATAAAGATAAGATTGAAAATCTTCTGCTCCTGTCGACCGCACTAACTTCTGGGGTAAGATACATGTAAGCGATCATAAATTTTCCGACCCTTTTTGCTTTCAAGGTGATATTACTTAGAAAAGCTTTTGGCGTTCTACACTGCCTCAATTAATAAACGCTGTTCTTCGTCCTATAATATCAAGGCCAATATTATTATAACAATATCCTCACACCTAAATATAATCTTCTAAAAGAGCCAGATTTGCCACAAGGATTATTACACCCACGTTTGAGTTATATTAATTGAAAAGAGATGTCACATTTCATTACTTCAATTAGGTAAATAAAATAGATCATTATTAACGCATAAGTCTACCATAAAATCTGAAACTATATATATATATAATAGAAGAAAGAGCCCAATCTAAATCTGAGTTTATATTTTAAGTTTTGTCACGCAATATCGCTTTGATAGTTGGTTATAACTAGTATAGTTATGAATTCCCTATTTGAAAAAAAATTGAAATTTAGTCAAAAAAGTAACGTTAGTACATTTTGATACAGATACTTATCATATACCTATATGTTTTCCCACCATTGTTCTTATAGTTTTAGATTATTGAAGTTCTTATAGTAAAAAAGTATTTCCCACTTTATAAGAACTTAAACTTTATTAACAAAACTCCACTACAATTTAACTCCATTGAGTGAAAAGGGTAAATTCGGTTCATTTCGCTAATTTATTTCCCAGCAAAATAAGAAGTTTAACATTATTATATCAACATTTCAGTTAACGAAACAATTTGTTCCCAAACAATGAAAAATTTCAATACTTTCACCAAAACTCGAATAATCACAATAGTCCTCCTTTATTATAGAAACTAGATCGTGTTCTATTCATATAGGAAACGGTTGCATGAATAGTTATTCTGTAAATCCGTAATAATTTGTGGTTCATTGCAAATGGATCAACCGGTTTTATGAATTAACCCTCAATAATAAAAAGTTTGTTCACTCGGCTGCATCACCTGAACTTGAACTTGGCCCATATTCTCACGACGAATGTAAGACGGACTATAAAATAATGCATGGTGCATTATGCAAAAACGACGTATTGATTGTGGGGTTAAAACCATTGTGCATGCTGAGTCGGTCGACCTTTGTTTGTACCTATTTATACAGGGTTGCAAATATGACGCATAAACCGTAAATAAATATTTATTCTACTACTTAATGTACTCTTACTTACTATATTAATTATAGATATTTCAATATTGCGATAGTATTACAAAGTTTTAAATGAGTAACAAATGAATAAATAGTTATAAATTATTTTTTCTTTGTTATACCAAAACGGATATTTCAGTTTTATAATATATAGGTCAGACAGGGTTATAGCAAGAACTAAGAGAAACATTGACGTGGAATTTAATAATGAAACGACGCGATCAGTCCATCCCGTTTCAACATAACAATAGTTGAATCAATTTAGGTCATAAGACTATAATTACGCAGCCAGTATCAACGTGATAACTAAACTATGCTACTGTCTACATGATCTAATACTTATTCAAGTAACAAGACAAATACTTGCCTGAAAATGAGTAGTTCTTTTAACGAGAGTAGCCACTTTCTTGAGCATGCATCAAGCGAAAGTAACATCCCGCATTCGCCGACATTACCTAGATAATACTTTCCAGATACTCTACTTAAGCATAAACAAGCACAAATCTCACAATAACATGACTTGAAACGCTTCACTTACCGTTTGAAAGCTCCACTGACTGCAGCAGTTATTTCACACTACTTTTAGAAGGATAGGATATCTATTTGGAATTACAATAACAAACAATAACAGTGCGGGGTCGAGAGGATGCGAATGAAATCGCCTATTGACGTAATCGTTTGCCGTTTTCTAGGTTAAGATTTTCCGGTGCAATAGCGCGGTGGGGTCGCGTGGTGACGCATCCCGAAACGTCATCTCTTTCAAACTAGGAAGTGTTTTGCGTATTTTGGATTCGTTTTGAGGGAGATAGTTTTTTTTTTATTGCAAATGCGGCAACGTCATGGGGCATGGAGCGTGCGCACTCGAGTCCGAGGCGATACTGTCGGCGGCCGCCAGGCGGCGCTGGGGATCGGACGTGTATTGATAAAAGCGCAAAGGGCGCGCGACGGCCTGCCCGCCTGCCTTGCTCGCCGTGCCGCGGCGGGTGGATGCGATCGTGCGATACATCAGCGCTTTCAGCTCGACCAACCTTGAACTCGCTCTATCGGATATTAGATAATACAGAGTTAGATAAAATAATGCGGTAACGACACGGACGAAGCGAGAGGATGCCTGGACCGACATTGTTATTACTTTGTTTACTTATTTCTTATATACATACATGATAGTACTGTATTCTTAGCTACTGCTAAGAATACAGTACTATCATGTATGTAATCATAGTCTTTGTTCGCTATAATGAAGAGCATGATTAGCGAGAAATCAATTCAGCTTAAAAAATTAATATATTATTCTTTATTAATATTTGATTCTTTATTGTATAAGGTGACTGAATAAGCCAACTGAACTGTGTAAAAGATGACAAAGGGATATTATAAATATAAAGTAAACTCCGATAGAGATCAGTAGAAAAAGATGATATACTGTCATGATTCTAAATCATGGGATGTACGGTAATAACGACGACAGAGTAAATCACTGTTGGTACTATCGTAACTTCGGACTTAAATATTGTCCGCCGTCCTTAAAATAAATCTACTGCTCATATCGAACCACTAATATAGATTTTTGAACAATCTATAAGATGAGGTGATTTTCATCCTTATGATGAATTGCAGAAGACCGGATTTTCAATTGTAAATAGATGACCTAGATACGGCAATTTCCAGCTTTATATAGACTAAACTCTAGTCTCATTAATTTGTTTTTGGCGTACGGTCCTATTTATTTGTTGCTGAGTCTAAAAATATACACAAATTTTCTATTACAGTTTTTACTTATTATACACTATTTGCACTTTCAATTGAAATCACCACAAACAATAAATGTACATTACTTTTAAAATATATCCGAATAGATTGTAATAACATTTCACATAATTCATAATTTATTCCATTATTATAATTCTTGTCACGTTCCCCGTAAAAGATTAGTCGTACCTACGCGTATGAATATTCAAATTGCAAGTCATTGGCGTCCGTCGATCTTATAATCCTACAACTCAGTTCCATGATAGTCTTCTATTATGTCTCTACATAAGCCTATATAATCTACATTATTGGAAGCAAAAGTAAAACAATTAATATCTATTTTACCAATAATATAATCGTTTTTGGGACTTTATATGTAGATATATTTTGGGACATCCGACATGTTGTTCACGTATATATATAATATAAACTACCCGCCCTGGCTTCGCACGGTTATGTATTATACATATAAACCTTCCTCTTGAATCAGTCTTTCTATTGCTGAAACTGCATTAAAATACAGTTGCGTAATTTAAAAAACCTAAGCGAACAGACAGCAGAACGACTTCATGTTTATGTAAAGATAAAATACATTATATGTATAATAATGTATACTTCTAAATAACAATACTAAGCTTTATGTTTATGTAACTTTGTTATCCACATACGACGATCCAATATACCTTTTTGCTGACAGTGACTTATAAGTTCTTGATATAATAAGTAAGTACATTTTAAAAATACGACAAATTTGAGGTATACTAAATATACTTAATTTAAAAGATTATCTGCTCTGAGAGTCCTAAAATGGCCTGCTGTTAGGTATACGGCCTTGTTTTCACATAGGATCGTTATTTTTTAAGTAACTAAAATAAAAAAAATTCAACATTTTTTAATTGTCAAAATTATAATTTATATTAAACACGAAGCAGTTAATATAAATAATTCATGACGTAAAGAAAAATTGTAATTTGTTTCGTATTTAAATGTACATATAACAAGACTTAATTGCAAGTGTTAATATTATGTTTATGAACCGAAGCAAAAAGCTTAATACACCTATTTTTGTATTCTTATGTACTCGTAAATTATACAAGACTATAAACAAAATGTACTGTGTAAAAATGTTATTATGTACATGTATCTGAAACATTTACCCATTTTGCAGTATAGGAGTCAAACTTACCGAACCCCTGACGGTAACGGCTTATTACCGTCAGGTAATCCCCAAAATATATCTGGCAACAAAGAAATGTGTTTATTTGTGCATGGCAATCCCTTTTGTATAAAAATCACAGACCTGTAACAAAGCATGTACACAGATTATACGCCATTAAAGGTGAGATAAAGGTACCTTTGCTGATGACTTTTATGAAAGTTACCGTCTGGCAAGTATGTTAAAGTACTAACTGTTAAGTAGTTATTGGTTGTATACAGCATACTGCATACACTCATGTAGGAATGCCGGTTTCGAAGCTATTGAAATATCATTTATTTGTGGGCACACTAATTTACACTAGTGAGAGTTGCATGGCCTGGTGGTTTGCTACTCGAAGTTACGCATTAGGTTAATAATCTCGTTACATCTGCAGTGTGGCAATATTTTCAAATTTATAAATAAAAAAAATACAATATTATGTTTACTTATATTCATTCTACAAAGTAAGAATTCGAACAAGTTATATGCACGTAGGTCGTGAATTTAAATCTGGCTGACACACAAAAATGAACAGTGTGTGTCAATTTGTATTTATGTACTGACTCTCCAGTAAATATTGAAAATACAGGACTTCTGTCAGCAATATATGCAATATTGCTGATAGAAGTCCTATATCTATAGCTGGAGTCATTGAAAATCGTATTACTATTTCAGGAAATGTGAACAAATATTCACGCCACAGTTTTTTATTTATAGGAAGATCTTTGTTAAGTTACTTAAAATCCAAATTGGTGTTTTACGAGAAAACATAACATAAATTGTTCAAATTATTAAAATGAATATAAGTAAACAAAACATTGTTTTGTTTTTTGTTAATAAATTTAAAATCTTACCACAGAGCAGATTTTACGAGACAACTAACAGACAGATCTAAAAAACAGTCCGGTTAGAAATTTATCAAAGTGATGAGGGTTTGCAAGTCTGTTACGGCAAAACGTACAAAACTTAGCCGCCACCAATGTACGATCATTTTGAAGACATTAATACACGATGATTAATTATGATGAACATTATACCAAAACGATGGAATCTCAGCAACTGATTTACTGGTTAGCGGTCTTGTAAAGGATTATAATATGTTTTTTATTTGGTAGCCGAACTACTTGACTCGCACGTTGCCCTTTATAAATCAGATCGCTTGATATAAATTTGGATAAGATGTTAAGAATACAGGTGTAGATTTAAAAAGTTTTAATCATATGGAAAACTAGCTTTTAACAGTGAATTCGTCTACTATTTTTTAAACGAACGAGCTATTTTCACTCAAAATTTCTTTAAGGTTGGTTTAGCCGGTACTTATGAAATAGACAGAAAAATCACTTTCAATTTTCATCTTATTATGCAAGTCCGTTTAATGAGTTATTACAATATCTTATATGCAACTTTTTTTTATATAGTATGGTCTACATAGTCTATTAAAAGAATTAAACAAAATAATACAAATCCAATAGTCGACTTGTTTAAAATGTACCCAACATTTTGACGGCTAATGGCCGACTGGTTGGATCTGATAAACGTGCTCTGATACGAGGATTTGTATGTACTGTGTGTAACGTGCAGTATTCCAATTATGGTATAGTCGTTTATAGTGAAGAAATTCAAACATATTCGTATTGAATGCCTATATAATGAATACGCATATTATATGTTCTGTCTCCGCATAGTAACAGACGAATAATCTACATATGTATTTCCAAAAGAAAGTAGAAATAACAGAACTAAAAAATATTAAGTAAGTATTAAGCAGCGATACAAGAACAGTGGCAGTGGTAGTAATGTCGTATATTTGTTGTCCTGGCAAAGACTTATGCCCAACAGTGGGACGTTAATAGATAGTCTTCGAAACAGACAATAACGTTATGAAGCAAACAATAAGACATACATTTAGCAATAAAATTAAAGATCTGAACTAAAATAATTGATATTATAATTGAAACTATGAATTGTTTAAACTCCAAGGTAAAACAAATGCGAACACTGTAACACCTAATATAATTAGGTCTCTTGTTTCCTTTGTAGTTTATATTGAAATGGATACTACAGAGTAAATTGCAAAATTGTGAGGGCTCTAAAGTAACTGGTCGGTTAAATGCACCAATGTGCATCTCAGCTAATGACCCTTGATTGATATTTATGGCTTTGGAAACGAGTGCTATTACATGATACGCGCGACGGCTTTATACGTTGAAAAGTCAGAAATATTTGTACAATATTATAACTAATCATATAAAAAAAATTGTGCATGTTACTTTTTATTTGAGATTACTTAGCAATGTAGAGTTTGAAGCAATAATCTGGTTGTTTCAAACTATATATTGTTAAATCGAGAATGACTAACGTGCCCAATATAGTCCAAAGGTCAAGCTGAAATGCCAATTGGCCAACCAGTGGAGTAACTAATAACCACTGAGGAAAGAGCGAAAATAGCTGCATATAAGACCATCATATGATTGACACTCTTATACACTTACGATGGCCTTCCAAGAGACGCCCACCAAAAAATTGAAGGGTGTCTATGTATCTGCTAGCGATGATAGAGCATTATTGAACACAATAACAAAATAGGAAACGGTCCTGATTGTATAGACACAGAAGAGAGTACATCCTTCGATCATAAAGAAGTTTTAAGTCTAATGATGTTGTAGACAGTATACAGCCACGCAAAGTATTTATTAATTAAAAAAAACAAAAACTTTACCTCGTTTAAATGCACTTAGTGAGTGATCACCACAGCATATGCGGTATCTCTTATTTTGTCATATTTATGGCACTAGATAGAGACAGAACTAAATATATGTACAGTAGGAAACTCACGTAAATTAAAATAAATCTCATCGAATACAAGATCAATGTTGGCCTTTTAATTATTATTTG